TCTCTGTTAGTGTTATATTTCACCCTCACTCCCGAAATGCAGTCGCAACCACTCTCCTGCTACTCTGCAATACTCCTGTCTTCTTCACTCACAACACAAAGGCCAGATCTAACAATACAGCCTGTATATCGTGGACTATATAACTAGTTGTTATCAAACTAGAGGCCCTCTCTCACCAAGGTCACTATGTAATACTAGTGATCATTTATCACAATGTTACTAACAGGAAGTTCTCGGAAGAACTTATATGATACTTATATTTCTTAAATGATTTCAGAGTATAGTTTCTACTACAGCTGGACTCCGGTTCTTTAAGTTTTGTCCGATATAACCTCAAAATTTTCTTATGAATTTGTTCTTCAGTTATTTTTATCAAATGGAGAGCTATATATAGCAAAGTCATGTCTTTTAACGTTTAACATAAAACGGAAACGCGATGAGAATTCTTGGAAGCTTAAACCGAACTTGTTAAAGGATCTTCAAAATACGACTTCAGATTTAAACATCTTCTGAAGCGCTTAAATTAAGTGACATGTGAAGCCGCATTTATTCCTATTCATTTCAGAATAGGCCAAAACAGAAAAGAATTCGCTGTTGGAGAAGTGATATATTAAAACAAGTAACTGAATTGAATTGAATTGTATTATTATTAGTGGGGTGAGACTGAGTCCACTTGGTACTGCGGCTACTTGAGACCTATTGCACCAGCCCCGAATGATAAATGATGATGACTGTGGAGCAACTAGTAGAATGAAGATGGGCAGGGGAAACCGAAATACACTGAAAAAACCTGCCCTAGCTCCGCTTTGTCCAGACCGGTAAAAGCAGACTGCTTTTACCGGTTCTCACGGTCTCTCCGCTTGCAGATTTCTTATATATTTTTTCTTCTACCCTGAAGATGGAGGCGATACGTTCCTCCGAAACGTCGGTTAACACCATATATACAAGGTGCCAAATCCCAGAAGACTGGTTTCTTCCTTGAGTTTGCTTCAAAATCAGTAACACACGAGGTCTGACCAAAGGTTCGCAAACTCGCCACCATGTGCTTGCCGTGGCAGCAGGGGACAGAAATCTCAGTACGGTTTGAAGACGTCATATCAACGTTTCACAGCTGTGTTGTTGTTGATCTATGGAAGTTTCTTTCTGAGTGGCGCCTATTATTGTCTGAGTGTGTTTTGGTGTGCCGTCGGCAACAACTCATGCACCTGCTCATAGAGCCTAGTTACGAAATGTAAAACATTTTCGAATGGATTGTAATTTCTCGTGCTCCTCTGTTTTCCTGTCCCTCTAGGTAAATTTGTCCCTGTGATTAACTAATTAAGCACTACGCCATGAAGGTGTTTGGGGGAGTGGATGTATAGGTCCACATTTTCTTGATCTCGGCATTAGTTGGATTTGAATGATCAGCTTCACGCCCCAGTCGCTTTAATCCCGAGGAAAGAACCCCCGGTACCCATTGGATAGGAGGTTGGGTGGACCCCAGAGCCGGTATGGACAACGTGGAAAAAAGGAAAATCTTGGCCCTATCGGGGCTCGAACTCCGAACCCTTGGTCCTCCAGATGGTATCCAGTCGCTATACCAACTACGCTATCCCGTATCCTGTTTCTATGCCTTTAATAACATTTAAACCAAGTGACCGATTTTCACGAAACCTGTCAGGAAAATCGTGATGCTAAACGCGTCCTCAGTTTGTAAAATTGCTACCAACGATAACACTAATACGGCTTCCAAACAAATTTCTGAGTGCGAAACGTCGGAATCTCTTATTGCATACCCAGTAATTTTGTGTAGTAATAGAAATTATGCCGGTCACGGTAGCCGAGCGGTCTAAGGCATGTACTGACTTCGCTCTCTCGGAAGCCGGGATCATGGGTTCGAATCCCACTCAGGGCATGGATGTTTGTGTGCGTTTTTCTGTGTTTGTGTACAGGTAAAGGCCTTGCGACGAGCTGATCACCCGCCCAAGGAGTCCTACCGAACGTGTAACATCTAGAAAAACCGAAGTGAACGGAGAAGTTAATGGAGGTAGGCCTAGGTCCACTGAGGCTGTAGTGCCAAGGAAAAAAATAGAAATTATATGTTTTATTTAAGGTACTTGTTTTGTGCAGTGTAAAGCAACAAATGGAATTGAGACTGTTGGCTATAAATAATTAACGACTCGAGCTAAGCATTTAAAAATGTAACATGGAGATAGTTAGTTAGTTATTGGAGAGGGTGGGTTTCCCCATGCACTGAGACCAGTATTGGTCCACTGTGCTTCCCTCTATGATATTCTACCAGTCTCTATACCCTACCGATAATGGTGCGTACCATCAGTCCCGCCGAGCAAGCGAGACCGGCTCTACTAGCTGAGAGGTATCTATAATGCTTTCTCCATCTACCAGAGGTATTAGAGACTGCTGTTGGGCGGGAAACGTCCGTTAATTTGGCTCAGTGACCTCCTTTGGAGATATGAGGTTCTTTTACGTGCCGTAAAGCTACGACACGGGACACACGGCTTAAAGTTCCTCCCGGAGGACTTGTTCCCTGAATTTTTCCGCCCTTAAAAATTCGACGACCTCCGCCGGGTATTTGAACCCGCGTGCCACGAGTCATGAGATGGGAACGTTACCTCTAGACTACGGAGGCCGGTAACATGGAGATAAAAGAAAATATTGGTACACATTACCAAGGTACCCATCTCTGTTACAGTATCTGAACAATTTACTCTAGCCAGAATATAGCTGCACACACACAGGACAGCACAAACACAGAATAAAAGCACACTCAAACATCCATGTTTCAAATGGGATTCGAACTCACGATCCCAGCGTTTGAGCGGACGAAGAGATTTCATTCCTTAGACCGCGTAGCAAATGTGATCGGCAGGCGAAATACTGCAGTATCGAATTCAGCCCCCCAAAATAATTTGCTATCCGAACATGTGCGGCGTATGGTTTGAGTAGTGAACGCTTCGTTTCACTTTCGTGTATTTTAACGAAGCTCTGTAAATGTTGATAGTCATTTAGTGTGAATATAGGGGCCGCGCCATAGCTCAAGCGGTTAGTCGCTGGCTTCCCACCGCGGCGGCCCGGGTTCGATCCCGGGTCTTGTCAAGTGGGATTTGTGGTGGACAAAGTGGCGCTGGGGTGGGTTTTCTCCGAGTACTTCGGTTTCCCCTGCCAATGTTCATTCCACCAAATTCTCCATCATCATAATCACCCGGGGCAAGCTACAATACGCCAATCAGTGGCCGCCGTGCCGAGTGGACCCAGTCGGACACGCCCCCCAAAGCGAAAAATAGTGTGAATGAAGAAAATCTTTATGTATGTTGAACCGGAAAGAAGATGGATGGTCTAAATGATTGATTGATTGATACTTATCTTATTATCTGCGACATATCGTTGCAGGCTCGAATAAGGTTATCATTTGTGAAGCGGGTTTCTTTACGAAGTTATCAGTAGTTGTCACGTGTTAGAGTGACTATAGACGGCGTTTGGATTGGTAATTGGATTTATTGAACACTTTAACACACAACACATGACTACACTTTACAAACCACTATCACACAGACTGGTGTTCTCAGTTACGATCTTCACTGCGCTGCTTGGTAGCGGCTTTCAACAGTGGACGTTACCCTGTTCTCAAACTGTCCCCGAGCTCAGCTACCAGCTTCTGCAACTCTCAGCTACCTGTATGTCTGTCTCTCTGTCTGTAGACTCACTCTCTCGACCACATGACTCGCAGGCTGGCGACCATCTCACACCAATCTACCACTCTTCTGTCGTCTCGGGACTCTTTAGTAATGACAGTTAATCCTCGTTATATATAGCATCAGCACGGACCGCGCAGAGAACACCGCTTCCAACAGCACATCTGTCGTTACATACGGGTCTATTGGATCTTAGAGGGATGGGATGGATTGGAGTGATCTGGTTCAGGATAGGGACCAGTGGAGGTCTCTTGTGAACACGGTAATGAGCTTTCGTGTTCCATAAAATTCTGGGAAATTCTTTGAGTGACTGAGCGACTGGAGTCTACTGAAGAAGGGTTCAGTTCTGTGGAGCTAGTTAGTTAACGGCGATCATATTGTCTTTGAAATACTATCTCAGTACTCAGTAAAATCACGAAAACCCTCCTTATTGATAAATATTCCCTGTCCAGATTCGAACCCGTTACCTTCCTAATAATAATCTTGAATTTTATCTTTTTTTTCTGTGGTTCACTTTACGATACAGTGTGTAATCGTACAATGATTGGCGAATAATGAATTAGAAATGATTTGTTATATTTTAGCGTCCTGTTACACTGATTCATGTCCATGATGTGTATTTATGCTACCCGTCTTACAGTGCACACAATTTCACCTTTCTCTTCACTTTTACACTACATGTTTCAGCACTAATGTGCCATCTTCAGGTGTGTCTCTATGCACGTCAAACTATTGCACTGCATGCCATGACGTCTTCATTCTAAAACATTAATATTTAGACTTATTATTATACATGACGAATACACATTTTAGTCATTTTAGAATGAAGACGTCATGGCATACAGTGCAATAGTTTAACGTGCATACAGACACACCTGAAGATAGCACATTAGTGCTGAAACATGTAGTGTAAAAGTGAAGAGAAAGGTGAAATTATGTGCACTGTAAGACGGGTAGCATGGACATAGAAAGGATTTGGAAGGATGAGGTAGCGGCCTAATCAGGGTACTACACCTCTGAGAGGGATAGAGTGAAGCCCGAGAAGTCTCAGTCAAGATGGCCGGTTCGAACTAAGCACCTTCCGCATAAGAATCTACGCGGAGACCGCTTCTGTTCCAGTATACCATCTATCACCTAACTCCTTATCAATAGACTACATACTATTTTCTGAAAGATTCAATCAGTTATTGACTAAAACTCTGTAATTGTTCCATTTCCCCCTCTCATTACGTCCGCCTTCCTACCTCGCCGTTGCTTGTATAAAGAGGTACAGAGCTCTCATAAGCTGCTTATACTCTGGCACCGCGCAACAGAGTAGCGTCCGTTATCGGGAAGCGCTTTACCTGACGTGAAGTGAAATGTTATCGTGTTAGTACATAAAATTAAGCGTAACTTTGTTTTTCTTTCATTGTCGTTATGCGTAAGTGAATTATACGCTACGTTTATAGTGAATTAAGGTCGCTTTTACTATTCCAAGTGTAAGGAAACAACCAGAAGACAGGAATGATACAAAATAGTGACAGTATATGTTTCTATATATTGGCTCTTTGTGTAGTCTTTACACATCTTATTAAAGCTTGGTGTTTTCCCAAACGTGAACAGAATTTTTAACAAATCTGAATAAACAAAAGGATAAACTTTTAAGTTCATCTACGATACTTGTGACATATCTTTTTTTCACGATGCTTACAGGATGGAAGGAACGTTTAGCAAAAGGTAAGACAATTATCGAAAGGGGTAGATAAACTGACATTAAGTCAGAAGAAAATAATAAGGAATTTGAAATGAAATATTTGTATTTCACATTACAGTTTCTAACTAGAAATTCCATGAATTTTACAAATCATATAGTATTGTTAGATTTATGAAGTCAATGCTATTATCAATAGGATGGACATGTATTTCATATGGAGGACACAAGAAATACACACTGAAATTTTGTGTTGGTCATTTTTTGAAAAGCGGCTTGTAGAATGATAAATATCAGATGCAGTAATAACATTAAGAATGGCCGCGCCATAGCTCAAGCGATTAGTCGCTGGCTTCTCACCGCGGCGGCCTGGGTTCGATTCAGGGTCTGGTCAAGTGGGATTTGTGGTGGACAAAGTGGGGCAGGTTTCCTCCGAGTACTTCGGTTTCCCCTGCCAATCCTCATTCCATCAATTGCTCCACAATCACCCTCACCTATCATCTGGGGCTGGTACAATAGGCCAGAAGTGTCCGCAGTACAAGGGACTTAGTCCCACCCCACTAGCAATAAAAAATAACACTAAGAATTATGAGGCTCATACGTAATGTCTGTGAGAAAAGCCGTGTCGAATCTCCATGTCCTGTTGTCACGATCATAATGAAAGTGTCGCAGCTAGTTTAGTCCAAAATTTGCTTAAACTGCAGAACTGGCCGGTCACTGTAGCAGAACGGTCTAAGGCATGCACTGTCTTCGCTCGCTCGGAAGCCGGGATCGTGGGTTCGAATCCCACTCAGGGCATGCATGTTTGTGTGCGTTTTTCTGTGTTTGTGTACAGGTAGAGGCCTTGCGACGAGCTGATCACCGAGTTTCATAGAGGTAGGCCTAGGCCCAAATGAGGGCTGTAGCGCTAAGGGGAAAAAAGTGCAGAATTACATAAAAAGTACGAAATAAATTTCACTGTAAGATAATATAAAGATAATATAAACTTCAGCCGATCACAGTAGCCGCGCAATCTAAGGCATGAACTGTCAAACGCTGGGATCGTGTGTTCGAAACCCATTCGAAACATGGATCTTTGTGTGTGCTTTAATTCTGTGTTTGTGCTGTCCTGTGTGCAGGTAGCGGCCTTGCTACGGGCTGATCACCTTTTCAAGGAGTCCTACCGACGGTGAAAAGAAACTGAAAAGCGGCCAATGTAAAACATTTCCGAGTGGATAGCAATTTCTCATATCCCTCTAGGTAAAGTTGTCCCTGTGCTTAAGTAATTAAGCACTACGCCATGAAGGCGTTTGGGGGCGTGGATGTGTAGATCCATATTTTCTTGACCGCGTCATTAGCTGGAGGTGAGTGATCGGCTTCACGCCCCAGCCACTTTATCCCGGGGAAAGAACCCCCGGTACCCATTTCGTAGGAGGCTGGGTGGGCCTCAGAGGCCATCAGGACGACATAGAGAAGTGAAAATTTTGTCCCCACCAGGACTCGAACTCCGACCCCTTGTTCATCGAGCATGTAGCCAGTCGCTATACCGACTCTTAAGAAACATCCTATATAAGTTACAAATTCTGGTACGTCATTTGTACATTAAGTTGATCAGCTGGTGTCCTTAGGACAGTGAAATCTAAGAAGCTATTATAGGTTGGATTTATAGCTCGAATATGAGAGACAAGGGATGCGTAAAGAATTTTGAAGAGGAAATCTGCTAGAAAATATTGAAATGGTTCGTAATTAAGTAGGTTGTGAGGAAGAGAGGCAAATTGAACTGGATGACTGTGTGCTTTTCTTTTAGTTGCTTATTTAACGTCACCATCAATATCGACAATACATGGTGTCGAATGGGATTATGAGAGAATAATTGTGAATTGGAAGGGATTCTGAAGGAAACGGTCCTGGCCTAATTGGGATAATATCACGGTGTTCACTTCTAGGTACTAAGGAAAATCACGGAAACCCCTAGTCAGGATAGACGGTGTCTCAGCCGAGATTCGAACTGAGCACCTTTCATATATAAGTCTATACCGTTGTCACTACACCAGTTTGTTGATTTGACTCTTTGCATAAATTGTGTTAAGTTTTTGGACTACACTATTAGAATAATAATTTGTTGATTTGTACATAGTGATGTACGTGCCGGCCGCGCCTTACTCCCCAGGAAAATTATTTAATTAATTCCTGGTACTCATTTCTGTTAGAGGCTGAGTCGACCCCAGGGCCATAGTGCGGCTGGAAGGATTAGGTCAATTGAAAAAATTCAATGACCTCATCGGGACTTGAACCCGCGACCTTCCGGCTTGTAGCATAGCGCCCCAACCAACTACGCTACCGCGTTCCCCTGTGTAATAAAACAGTGACTTTAGTCCGCAAGCGAGCTATACCGACCGACTGAGCGACCGCCGCTTGTCGGATCGATATTAAATATATTTATCTAAAGTCCAGCGTAAAATAACACATAATATTTGTATGAACACCCTGTATAACCATGCAATAACAGCCTACGCCCTACGTGATCGGCCTGTACTACTCCTTGCTGTCCGCCATTATCTCTTCGCTATGATTTTCGAAAATTTGTTGTTTTTTTTTCCGAAAGCTCTTCCAAAACTATTCACGTACGTATCTCTTTTCCGGAGTTAACGACAGTAGGACCGACGCTAATAACAGTATAATATAGCACGGGGTGTCCGCGTCATCACTATTTAATTTAATGAAATTCCATATTAGTCAGGGCTAGATTTAAGGAGGAGCGACCCGGATCGTCCCCCTGGGGCCTTCAAAAACAATAAAGATTCCGTGACCTGTAGTCCGCAAGTGAATATACCGACCAAGCGACCGCCGCTTGTCGGAGAAGTTAGTGCTAACTTTTTGTAGATAGAGGGTGTCGCGGGGTTAGCGCAACGGATCCCCACGGTCGTTAATCTCGGTTTCCTAGACCGGAACCGTTATTTCCTTGAAATAGCTCCTCAATTATCCTCACGAGGCTGAGTGCAACCCACTACTTCTCAGAAAATTTGGTAGCGCCGGGGATCGAACCCGGACCTCTGGATCTGTAGCCAGGAACTCTACCACCAGAATGTGGAGGTGGTCCTACCCCTAGGGCCCCCAGAAAACGTAAATAAGATTCGAAGATTTTATTGAGACATCTGCTTCTGTAAAATCACAATAAGCATATCTGTATATTTTTAGCTAATGTAAGAAGTAAGTGTAGGTAGCCGAGCGGTCTAAGGCATGTACTGTCTTCGCTCGCTCGGAAGCCGGGATCGTGGGTTCGAATCCCACTCAGGGCATGGATGTTTGTGTGCGTTTTTCTGTGTTTGTCTACGGGTAGAGGCCTTGCAACGAGCTGATAAGTCTCCCAAGGAGTCCTACCGAATGTGTAAGATCTAGTAAACCGAAGTGAAACGGAGAGTCTCATGGAGGTAGGCCTAGGCCCAAATTGGGGCTGTAACGCCACAGGAAAAAAAAAGAAATAAGTGTAAAAAAATTATAAACAAATTTTTTGTTACTGAAAAATGCCGTCATGCCTCCACATTTTGGTTGACTTGGGGTGACATAATTTAAAATGTGGCCCTGATAACAATTTTATTTTCGCAGTGCATTATTAATACTAATACTTAAAACTGCATTTTAATTATATCTAGGGGCACGTGGTAGCGTAGTTGGCTGAGGTACTGTACGACAAACAGGAAGATCGTGGGTTCTAGGCCCGATGTGGTGAATTTTTTCAAATTACCTAATCCTTCCAGCCGCACTATGGCCCTGAGGTCGATTCATCCTCTAACAGAAATGAGTACCAGGAATCTTCCTGGGGGGCGGGCGGCGCGTAAGGCTCACAACATTACCGCCATCTGTGAGCCGATTATCTAGAAAACATGGGAACCTCGACATCTCACAAACCTATCGGCCTTCACGGCCTCTTACACGGATAGCCTTACCTTTTTCCCCTTCTATATCAAAATTAGACATCAGAGGAGAGTTTGAAAGACTTAATCCCAGATTTACCGATAAGCAAATTCGTTATTTATGCAGATACAAAACAGATATTTAATGGAAACCTTGTGTATAGTTTTGACACACACAGGAAGTGATATGCCAATAAACTACATTATTACACCGATGTCGAAAAAATATGTTAGAAAAAAATGTTCTGTTAGAAGCTTGCCTGGCACACAGGGAGAGCAACATACGCAGTATATATGTTACTTTCTCGGTGGAACAATTGCAAACCTTAGCATAAAAGCAACAGGCGGTTCGTGGAAATACTGGGAACTGCCCTACTGTAAGGTTCCAGTCTGCCTTGCTCTAACCACAAGGCGCCTATTGCAACCGTGTGTGTGCGGAAGTTGCGGAAGGTCACGTAATAGACCTAGCCTAACAATTACACGCCCCTGAACATAGAGCCACTGGCTTCGTACACCGGTTACGCATTTCGCGGCAAACTTTGCTTGGTTTTGCATGAATTCTCAAGGTACACGAGTGTACGTCATCTGTTTCAGCACGCGTCTTGAGGTCCTCACACCGGTGGTTATGAAGAGCTCTATCTTCTGGGATATAGCGCCGTGTAATCCGTTGTAAGTCAACCGACGTTTCGGAGAAACATGTCCACATCTTCAGAGTTGAAGAGTAAGGCGGGCAAGAAACCGATATGAAACAGGTAGCAAAGTCTGTATGCTACTTGCTTCGAGCTGGTTCATTTGCTTGGCTTACTCTTCGACCCTGAAGATGGATGAGACAAGTTCCTCCGAAACTTTGGTTTAATTTCAACTAGACTACACAGCGTTATATCTCAGAAGGTAGAGCTCTTCATTCTTCTTATTATTATTATTATTCGTCCCTCATCCTTCTTATTCATTCTCTCTCCTTTCTTTTCTCTTCCTTCATATTCGCTTTCTGTTCCATGCCTCTTCGTCCTTTGCTTTCTTCTAGCCCACCTTTTCGTCTTTCATGTTCTTATTCCTACTTTCCTTGTCTACCTTCCTCTCCCATTCCTTCTCTCTACTCCTCTTCCATCCTCTCATCATTCCCCTTTTGCCCT